CAATTGTAAGAGAAAATTATCACTTTCTCTTAAAATACAGCAAATAGCCTCTTCTTCCCATAGCCTCTCCTTTATCTATGTAAACAAATCCTTAAAGCCTCATTGTTTCAATCCTGATGTCAGCAAAAGGGTTGCCAAAGATAACATATCTGTTTTAACCTTGATTAAATAAACCATATTTGATTTATATTCCTTCCTTTCACTTGTAACAATCTTGATCTTCAGTCCCTTCAGATCTTCCCTTCAAGATGTTCTAGAAGTTTATTTCTTTTCATATTTTCTTTGCTCCTTTCTCTTCAAAATTCTTCAAAGTTTTAACAAGACTCTTTTAAAAATCCTATTGGAAAATTATCCAAGCCACTCTCTTGATTTGTTAATATTCCTTTTAATTATTATGACAGCTTGTAATCTTTGTATGTCCAATGTAACATCTTTTTGCAATTTTGCAATTAATTCTTTTTAAATCCACTTCAAAATCAGTCTCAACTATGTCAGGTAAAATTTGTTCCACTTCTATAATACATTTTAAACACAATTTATCTATACAGGCAGACATAATTAATTTCAGGGTCCCAAAATATTCTTCAATATGTCCAATGTTAAAATAGTTTGCTGCTTCTTATCAGTTGAATTTAACTATTCTTCTTCCTAATCTAGTGTTCCTTCTATTTTCCTCTGGCATCCAATTTTTAAATTTTTATCTTCTTTAAAATAAATTCCAAAATCTCCTTTTAGATTTATTTGTACCCTCAGTCTATTTGTAGCTTTTAAGAAATCCTTCTTGTGCTATTTACTCCAAAAACATTTTTAAGTCATTAAATTTGTATTTTGAATGTCTTTCACCAAGGATTGATAAAAATAACCCAGGCTTGTAAAACTTGTCAATCCAAAGATTCATAAAAGCTGAAAAGGAGTTAATAAACTATTTCCAAAAGTGATTAGAAAGGAAATATGCAAAACCAGTATCCTTTTAATAGTCCCAACCATGATTTGAGCAAGATGGCTCTTTCTTCTGCCACAGTGGAGCAGTCTTCAGTTTGCCATTTCTTTCCTGGAAGTCCAGAAAGCTGACTTTTTAAAATCTATAGTACTTTGAGGTGATTATATAGTTTGTACTTAATGCCAAAAGAGGACATTGATTTTTGTTACACAGACTATTTTTTCTCAAAGTGAAAAATTCAGTTTTGTGCATGAGAATGTCAGGAAGTTAATCAATTAGAAAGGATTTGGAGGAAATATAGGAAGGACATTTTAACTTAAGGATATTAGTTTCTCAGTCCTAGGTATATGTTAGTAGATAATAAAGTCATTAATAATGATCTACTAAACAGGTGACATACAGCAAAGAATATAAAACCACAAACGTGCAAAATAATCATGTAAAAGATTTTTTTTTTATTTTTTATTTTGACTTTGGAATAAAATAATATATAAGTAAATCATACAAAAGTTTTTTTAAAAAACATAAAACATTAGATCTGCATTGGAGCTGGAATCTCAATTACAAACAGACTCCCCTTTTAAAAGCCGTATAACTTATCTTCTTTTTTTTTAAAGTTTTTTATTATTTTTTTAAAACATAAACCTAAAACACATTTTTTCAAAGCAAAGCTTTTGTTCCGGTCACAAATTAATACAAATCACTAACAAATCTTAATTTTCAACTAACACAGCTTAATATTTTACTCAGTTATTTCCCTCAATTTTATCTATTTAACTATGCCATTATCCCCAAAAACCTGTTACTTAAATCTTAAATCCTAATCAATGGAATTAATTATAATTCCATTTTTCTCTTTCATTTGCTTAGATGGATATATTTTAACAATATAAATCATCACAATTATTATAAACATTCATAAAGTAATTAATTCCAACATAATCATTTTATTTTTACTAATGAACTCAACATTTATAGTCTTTATTTCTGTTATTAAACCTAACTTATTCATTTTATTTTAACTATTAACTTCAACATACTCCTCCTTATTTGGCTATCCCACCTCATTTTATTTTGTTATAAAACCCAACATCTTTATCTTCATCTTTGTTGTTAAACAAATCATTTTTATTTCCTGGCTGTTAAACACAGCATAACCATTTTATTTTTGGCTGTTAAACACAGCATACTCATTTTGTTTTTTGGCCTACACAGCATATCCATTTTTATTTTGGCTGTTACACAGCATATCCATTTTGTTTGGCTGTTAAATACAGCATAGTCATTTTTGTTTTCTGGCTGTTACACAGCATATCTATTTTTATTTTTTGGCTGTTAAACACAGCATAATCATAGTTGGTTTAACTATCCCTACTTAATCCTTTCTGGAAACCTTTGTGGTTTCCATCCATCTATACATTGCTTATTTTCAGTTAATCATATTTATCCTTATCCTTTTTCATAACAATTTAACATTGAGACATGGTTCTTGCTTAAAATATACCTTTAAATATATTTATAAATTCCTTTTAACATTTTAAATTAACCATATTTATCTTTATCCTTTTTCATACCAATTTAACATTAACACATAATTCTTGCTTCAAACATACCTTTAAATATGTTTATAAATTCTTTTTAACATTCTTAATTTCTGTAAAAACCTCCTTTTTATTACTACAATCCACATTGTTTCAATCTTCTTTTTTCTTTTTCCAGTTGTGTTTATCTTATTTCTTCATTTCCTCACCTGCAAACATATATTTCCTTCCATTTTCAAAGTTTTCAATTTTGTCCTCCATAAATCATATCTTTTTGTTATTTTTATTCCAGATATAATATATCAAATCTTCTCTTGGGCCTGCACTTATTCCTTCTTTTATTCCTGCGCCAATTTTTAAAGTTACTATTGTTTCAACTATAGGAGTTCCATTATAATTTCCTTTTCTTTTCACAAAAGTCAAGCTGCCTGCAGACAGGGAAAAAAATCTCCTCTGCAAGATCCCACAACTTTTATCTGTAGGACTCAAAATTTCCCATAGCAGAAAAGAGTTACAAAGTTCCTTTTTGAATCAGATGGTGTCCCTCTACAATCCACATTTTCCATTAGTCATGCGAGTATCCATTTTGTGCTATTATGTAACAATCCAATTTATTTCTTCTTTTAATTTTAAAAGTATCCAATCTTTTTTAAAAAAATCCAATTCAAATTTTAAAATATCCAGTCTTTGTCCCATATCTCGATATTTAATTCCTTTAGTTCTTTTCAAAGCATAGTTGTTTATCGGGTCTTTGTTTCTTTAAGGTAACATTTTAAACTTTCAGCCTCTTTGTTATTCAGCCATTATTTTATAGCTAGGGGTCTTATAGATGTTAATTTTGCTCTAGGCATTGTTCTAGCGTGGGTTGGTTGTCACTCACCTGGCTTCAAAGAGCTCCGTTTCTATCCACTTTCCTCAAGCACATTTCTTGCCCGGTTGTCCCAGCTTCGTGGCAGCTGCCATGGCTGCCGCCCCCTGCCACCAACACAGAGGGTTTCCTCTGACCTCTGAGGAACTTGCCTGTTCCTCTTGGTCGTCCCAGGTGCCCCTCCTTTACCTCCATCCCTGCAGGATGGTTCCGGTCCGAAGACCCATTGGCGGCGGTTCGGCAGCCAGGGTTTTTGCGGGGCTCATCAGAGCCCGCTATTTCCCTGACTGTCTTACCGTAACACCAAACCAGAAGTCCTATAACTTATCTCTTGTACTCCTTATCCATTCTCTGGATTTTGTGACTGTTTTTTCATATTAGGTTCATAGATAAATTATAGAAATTGGGTTTTTGAAAAAAATCTAGGAGCATTTCTATAATGGATAGTTTAAGAAAGTGTAGAAGTAATATTTCTTTCTAATAGGCTGTACTATAGTTCTTCATGTTTTCATATAAGCTTATTGAAATTCCACTTTCTGTTCTGTTTTGTTAAACAAAACAAGATTCCAACCGATGACTTGGTTTTTTTGCTTTTGTTTGGTTTGTTTTTGCCTTCAGAAGTTCTTTCTTGGTCTGTTTGGTAAATATTATGAAGAAAGAACACAGGTTGCTTTACTTCAAATGTTATATTTATTATTAAATTCAAGAAGGCAGTTGTGCAACAATCTTTGTTGAGGTATATGACAATAAATAGTTCTGCTCACCCTCTTTCAGGCAGATATGTATGTAATAAAGTGCGTTTCAGAATGAAGCAAAAAGTTATCAGAAACAATAGAAAAAATATGTAACAATTACAAGGACTACCCTGTTTCCCCCAAAATAAGACATCCCCTGATAATAAGCCCAATCAGGCTTTTGAGTGCACGGCAATAAGGCCAAGGGCTTATTTCAGGGTTCAAAAAAATATTAAGACGGGGTCTTATTTTCAGGAAGACACAGTAGTAGGAAATGGGGTAAATGTCTGTGTTGTATTATTTTTTTTCCTATAGAGATTTCTTTAAACAACTAACACATTAAATGTACTTCCTTGTATTGTTCCAGATATCATTTTTCTTCATATAGCAGTGTTTCCCAAATTGTTAGGTGTCAGCTCCAGTTTAAAGAGCACCTGGAGGCCATGACTAGAGGGACCTTTTCCCAGCTCTGGCTGATACACTCAATGAATGACGACTTGTCTTCAGTAACTCATTTATATTCTCCATTACAAGGAATGCCAGCATTTTGATATTAATGATGGGATAGATTTTGATTACTTAGTGATTTAATTGATGCTTAATTTCAATAAGATAAGTGCGGTCTGATTTGTGGGAATATTTACAGTGGGATGAATGTTCAACTTTTTGTGATGGAAGCAGAGATTTCTAGCACTTTAAGTTTGGAATTGCTGCCTAGCCGGAGAAAGTAACTGCATGTGAGTTTTACTTCTTAAAATGTTGTTATAATGGGGCTACCTTTCGGGCAAGAAAATTTAACCACATAGCTATTGTCATGTCAGCAGATGGATTTTTATATTCTCTATGGAGAATATAAATGGTTTTTTAATAACCTATGTAAACAGAGTTGACAGTTAATTTTTTTCTCATATTTTCAGATTGAAGAAGGTAGCAAAGCTGCAGCTGTGGATAAATTGCTGGCTGGAGATGAGATTGTCAGCATCAATGACATTAACCTCTCTGGCTTCAGGCAAGAGGCAATCTGCTTGGTGAAAGGCTCACACAAGTTCCTAAAGCTTGTGGTAAAAAGGTAAGATCACAATATGCAGTAGCAAAAACTGAAATCGGATTTTGTTTGGATGTTATTAATTTAATGACAATGAATACTTTTTACAGAAATACCTTTGTCACTTCACAAATTTCTGTGTGCATTTTCTAAAGTAACAACTCTACTTTAACATATTTTATTTTTAAATTGCTTCAGAAAGCTAGTCTATGTTATTCATTCTTGGGAAAAGAATACTTGACAATAGGTCAAGAAAACTTTTAGGGTTTGTTCTGTAGCATTTCTAAACCAAAACAACTGCAAGGTAAGCATCTGGCTTGTACATATTTTAAGTCTCATCACTTATGACTGTGACAGTTTTGAGGAAATGCACCTCATATGTAGAAATGATGCTTTGTCAGATATCGTGGGTTTAATCATTCGTTGATTGTGGGAAATATTCCTTCTCATTCCTTTTAAGGTTATAAAATGTGATATTCATATCTCCATTGCAGTTTTTATGTGTGTAGGCTTTTGCTTATAAGACACTCAACCCCAATTTGGAAAACTGTCCATGTATTCAATCTACAATTCTAATATTCCCAATAACCAATAGCTTCAGAAATCTAGTTGTTGTTGTCCCTGCATATATTGAGAGTATCTTATTGAGTAGCGTTATAGGACAATATGGCTATATGTAAAGAATGAAGTTGGCATCCTAAAGAAATTATGTCAACATAGATCAGATGCTTCTCCAGTGCGCTGCTTGGAGAATCCAAGCGTGGGTTGACTTCTATCTATCTGCCAGAAACTGAGTTGTTAGATTTTCTTGGTCACGCCTCCTCTGCTTGGCTGAGCTCCAGTTTTACGACTCAGTCTAGCTAGAGAGACGTGAAATTTTCCACTCTAACACTTAGGGCAGTTAGAAGAATTACTCAGCTTGGATTCTCCAAATAATTTCAATTTAGGAGCTGATCTCACAGAGGCAGTTTAAACGGGAAATTTTCTTCCCGCTTTGTGGCTCTGAGCTGCTACAGCAGCAATGCAGCTGCCGGCGAGTGTCCTGGTCTCCCCTGGTCCATCCAGTACGACCACCACCGCCTCACGGACATCATCAGGGCAACAGTCCGGAGTTCAACCCAGTGATCGGGGATCATATGGCTTTCATGAGCCTCCTGCTCCCCCGCATTGATCGCCACCGGTGTGTACGCTGGTTCCCCTGATCCGCCAGCACAAGCACCACCACCATATCAGCTCCATCGTAGGCCAGGCAGCTCCAGAGTCACTGCCCGGTTCTCTAGGGAAAACTCAGAGGAATCGGGATTTTTTTCCCGCCCGGCACTGGGAGAGCCGGATTTCCTGCTCTCGCGCCATTTTGAGTGCCTGTAAGTCACGGCAAGGACTCCATTGTGGCGGCGTTGCCGCTTATTCGTGCCTTGGCTTCCCCTCCCATTGTGGGTGTGCTGGCCCTCCCTGCCTAGTCAGGTGTGACTGCCACCACCCTTGATCCTGACAAAGGGACCAACTCCAGATCGATTGCAAACTGGTTTGAATAACCCAGACAGTTTTCCAAATGGCAGAGCAATCCCCCTCCCTGGATAACGGACAGGTGAGTCTTTCTCCCAGGCCCCACAGGGCAGAGGACTCTAGCCCCAGGAGTACCAGGGCAACTGCCAAGGGGGCCACAGGGAGGGGCAGATCAAAAACCCGTCTTCCCAAGAAGGCTTCATCTACTTGGACAAAGATGCCAAAAGGCACCACAAGGCACTGGAGAAACATTTCTCCAAAGCCCAGCAAAAGGCACAACCTGACAAGGCCTCAACTGTCTCTCCTGCAGAGGCAGTTTTTTCCCGCTCTGTGCAACCTGAACTGCCTTCTCAGATAATTGAGGATAGACAACAAGACTGATCGCCAGCGGGCGCTGGTGAGCTGCAGCCTTCACTGTCAGCCTGTTATGAGGAGAAATTTCTTCTACTTTCTTGCCTAACAACTGCTGGTTTGGAATCAGCGTCTACTGCTAGAGGCTAAGCTCCTGCAGCGACCTTCACCCCTACAGCAGTGGGACTCCACTCAGGGGAGGGCCAGGGGGCTGGGCTATCTCAAGGTATACGAAAGCTCATTTCTGAGGCTATATCACAAGGGATAGCGGCAGGACTGCAACAGAGGGGCCATTCTGACCCCCTGCCACCCAGCCTACATACTCAGATCCCACCACATATACCACCACTACTGGGACCTCCCTCATCACACACATCTCTGCCCAGAGCAGATTCGCTTATGGGGGATGAGGATCAGGGGGACCAGGAATTTTCAGATGATGAGGGGATGATACCTGACAGACCTTCTTTACAGGTCTTTTTTGTCCCTCCTTATTCAAATCGCTACTTTATAAGGCCAAAACAATGACCGATATGGGAGTAGTAGAAATTCCTGCAGAACACCCCCAGGGTTCGCAAGACCCACATAAAGGGTTGTTCTCGGAACCAATCGCAGAACAAGAGGTCATCCCTTCTCCAAAGCTGTTCGTTGACATAATTCAATGACAGTGGAAACAACCTAGCTCCCTTGCAGCCCCCAGTGGGCATGACAGAAGGCTTTACAGTGCAGGTCCAGATCTCGAGGAGCTCCTACAACTAATGATGGTGGATGCTCCAGTAGCAAATCTGACCACCTCTGCCATTCTATCTACACACATTGTAGATGGTTTAAAAGCAGATGATAGGAAGGCAGAAATGTTCTTCCATAAGACACACCAGGCGGCTGCCTGGGCGATTAGAGCAGCAACATCTGCTTCTTTCTTTAACCATGCCTTGGAACCAGAAGAAACCAGGCTGTACCAAGACATAAAGAAGTTGGTGGCAGCCACCAAATTTTCAGCCAATGCAACACTCAACATGGTGAAATTCGCATCTAGGGCCCAGGCATCCATGGTTACATCATGCCGCCTCCTGTGGTTCTGCCACTGGCAAGCTGATATGTAGTCAAAGTGGAGGTTAGCTTCAGCACCCTACAAGGGCTCTAATCTATTTGGGGAGGCACTAGATCCCATCCTCATAGAGAATAAGGGCAGAAGGAAGGTGATGCCCTACATGCACAGGTGGGCAGACTGTAGACCCTCCCCTTACTTTCAAAGGCAGCCATTTTGGTCAGCTGACACCAGCTCCCATGCTCCACAGTTTCAGCAGACTTACTCCCAGTGCTTTGACTGTTTTCCAAACAGGACTGCCTTCCATGATAGAGGCAGGCAACAACCTCCAACTTCGACCATTTTGAGGGTCTAGCAGCAGGCCCTTTCATCGAGGAAAGTGACTACCAGACCAATCCTCCCATTGGCGGTTGACTGCATCTATGCCAATGGGAGAGGACCACAACAGATGCTTGGGTCCTACAGACTGTGAGGCTAGGCCTCACACTGGACTTTCTCTCCACTCCTCCCAACCATTCATCCATTGCCCAGTCCCCAAAAACATCATGAAGAGAAACCTGATAGAAACCGAGGTTCAACACTTGTTGGACATCCATGCCATCGACCCGGTTCCCAGGGGTCAGGAGGGACTGGGATTCTATTTGATCCCCTTCCTAGTACCGAACTATTCAGGGGGCTGTAGAGGAATTTTAGATCTCAAGAAACTCAACACTCATGTAGTGTACAAACGTTTCAAGATGTAGTCCCTACAATTCATCTTGGGCTGCAACTGGGAAGGCAATCTGTTAATGTCTGTAGACCTCAAGGAGGCTTACCTCCATGTACCCATCCAACCTTCCCACCGAAGGTTCCTGAGGTTCTCTTACTCAGGGCGCCACTTCCAGTACCGTGACCTGCCATTCGGCTTGTCATCAGCTCCCAGAACTTTCACAAAGCTGTTGGCAGCAGTGGCGGCAAACATCAGAGCACTCCCTGTAAGGATGCAGTGCTACTTAGATGACATTTTAATTCAGTCTTCTTCCCCGTCTCAAGCGACAAAGGATCTACACACTGTGATCCGGATTCTTCAGGGACACGACTTTTCAATAAATATAGAAAAGAGCCACCTGGTCCCCACCACCCACCTTCTTCACCTTGGCGCAGTGATAGACTCCAGGAATGCCAGGACAGTATAAGAGCCTTAGTAGGCCAGGTTTTGTCACTACAGTCAATCCCCCTGGCCCTCCTGTCGCAGCTTCTAGGAAAAATGATCTCTTGCATCGCAATTGTGCTTTGGGCATGTCTGCATGCCAGGAATCTCCAATGGTTCCTTCTGCCACACCAGAGAATCAGCAATAGCAACTCCAAGGCCAGAGTATGAGTTCCACTGAATGTCCTTCATTCCCTTCACTGATGGACTTCACGAGCCATAAAGAAGAGATGTATATTCAAGGATCCCCAATGCATAATGATAAGATCAGATGCAAGCCTATTCGCTGGGGTGCCCACCTTCAGTCTCAGGTGGCCCAGGGGCAGTGGTCTCCGGTGGATCTAACAAGCAATATAAATTGGCTGGAGCTCCAGGCAGTCCACCTGGCTCGCCGCCACTTCCAGAATGCCCTGGCAGACCGCCATGTCCTGATTTTAACAGACAACGTGACCACCAAGGCCCACATAAATCGTGAGGAGGGCACACGCTCCAGATCCTCAGGAGCAAGGCAGAGAAATTGTGACTCTGGGCAGGGAAGCACACACTCTCCATCAGAGCAGAGCACATATCAGGATCAACAAATGTGCAGGTGGATTGGCTGAGCAGGACGACAATAGACCATTCCGAGTGGTGCCTGCATCCGGACCCTTTCAAGGAACTGTCCAAAAGATTCGTCCACCTGACTGGATTTGTTTGCCCATCCAATGAATGCCCAGTTGCCGATGTTTTTTTCCCGATTTACAACACCGAGGGTGGAACAGGTTAACGCCCTCCGCGGTCCTTGGCCCCAGGGACTGCTCTATGCCTTCCCTCCACTCCCTTTCATTTCGAGGGTGATCAGGAAGGTGTTAGAGGAGAAGGCGGAGATGCTTCTTATCACTCCTCATTGGCCCAGACGCGCCTGGTACACAGATCTGGTCAGCCTCTCAG